GCTGGGCGGCGGGGTTCCCAGGTTTCCGGGTTTCTGGGTTCTTGGTCGATCTCCTGATCGGTCTCACCATCGATCTCACTACCCACTTCTGTATTGATCTCACAATCTATCGCACTATAGATCGCACGGGCGATCTCACGATCGATCTCACTGAATCGACTTCACGATCGGTCTCACGATCAAACTTACTATCGTCCTTACTATCGATGCCACTATCAGTCTCATTGTCGATCTCACAATCGATCTCAATGTCCGAGAGAGCGTGATCCACCGCCGCTTTACTGTGGAAAATTCCCCCCCTCTTCCTCCGGAGCCCGGGTGTCCCCCCTCCGAAAATCCCCCCCGCCTGGAACCCCCCCCCGCTTCCCCAGGCAAAACCCCCCCTTCTCACCAACCCCCCCCACCCCTCCGGAAAACCGAGGGGGTCACTACCAGTTCGACCCCCCCCCCCCCCCCCGAAAAACCGGAGGGGGTCACTACTGGTTCGAACCCCTCCCCCCCAGAAAACCAGACGGGGGTCACTACGAACCCCTCCCCCCCTCCATCCAGAAAGCCGGGGAGGGGTCACTACCGGTTCGACCCCCCGCCCTCTCGAAAACCGGGGGGGTCACTACCGGTTCGACCCCCCCCCCTCGAAAATTATCCTGGCGAAGGACCCAACCATATGCACTTGTGAACAACGCTTTGTGGGTGCCGCTTTCGGTGGGGCTCCCTATGGGGCCACGAAAGGCATGCCACGAAACGCTGTCCTGGGCGTACGGGACGCATGCGGGCGGTAGCACTGGGGCCTTTGGTGAAGCTCCCTATGGAGCCACGAAACGGCGTCCTGGGCGTACGGGACGCATGCGGGCGGTAGCACTGGGGCCTTCGGTGTGAGCTCCCTATGGGGCCACGAAACGCTGTCCTGGGCCCTCGGCAACGAAACGTGTGAGGGGTGTGCCGAAATGGGTGCGGTGCCGCCATGCCAACGCAGCCACTGGGGCTCTCGGTGGAGCTCCCTATGGGGCCACGAAACGTGTGAGGGGTGTGCCGAAATGGGTGCGGTGCCGCCATGCCAACGCAGCCACTGAGGCCCTCGGTGGAGCTCCTTATGGGGCCACGAAACGTGTGAGGGGTGTGCCGAAATGGGTGCGGTGCCGCCATGCCAACGCAGCCACTGGGGCCCTCGGTGGAGCTCCCTATGGGGCCACGAAACGTGTGAGGGGTGTGCCGAAATGGGTGCGGTGCCGCCATGCCAACGCAGCCACTGGGGCCCTCGGTGGAGCTCCCTATGGGGCCACGAAACGTGTGAGGGGTGTGCCGAAATGGGTGCGGTGCCGCCATGCCAACGCAGCCACTGGGGCCCTCGGTGGAGCTCCCTATGGGGCCACGAAGCGTGTGAGGGGTGTGCCGAAATGTGCCGCCATGCCAACGCAGCCACTGGGGCCCTCGGTGGAGCTCCCTATGGGGCCACGAAACGTGTGAGGGGTGTGCGAATGGGTGCGGTGCCGCCATGCCAACGCAGCCACTGGGGCCCTCGGTGGAGCTCCCTATGGGGCCACGAAACGTGTGAGAGGGTGTGCCGAAATGGGTGCGGTGCCGCCATGCCAACGCAGCCACTTTTCATTGGGGCCCGGGCCCGGGGTATGGGGCTCCCGAAACGTGAGGGGCCACGGTCCGCCATGCCAATGCAGTCGTGGAGCTCCCTATGGGCCACGAAACGTGTGAGGGGTGTGCTGTGATAGTGGGAGGAGGGAGGGGCAGAGGAGGGGGCACGGGAGGAAGGAAGGAGTGAACGCGGGGCGCTGTCTCGTCAAAACGAGGACCCAACACCACAGGACGGTTGGGAACAAGGAGGGGTCACTACCTGTTCGAACCCCTCCCTCCGCCCTCGAAAACTGGGGGAGGTCACTACCAGTTGGAACCCCTCCCCCCCCCCTCACCGCCAGCAAACGACTCCCGGTTCCCCCTACCACCGTCCGCACCACATCCCCCACTGCTGTCCCCAGCACCACTGTCCTCACCACCACTCCCCACCGTGTCCCCACCAGTGCCCCCACCACTGTCGCACTGTCCCCACTGTCCCCACCACTGTTCCCACCACGGTTCCACTCTCCCCACTTTCTCCACGGCCCCAACCACTGTCCCACTGTCCCCACTGTCCCACTGTCCCCGCCGCTGTCCCACTGAGTTCCCACTGTTCCCACCACTGTCCCCACTGTCCCCACCACTGTCCCTACTGTACCTCTGTCCCATTATCCCACCGCCGTCCTCGCCACCGCCCTCACCACTGTCCCACCACCACTGTACCCTCCACTGTCCCACTGTTTCCACCACATTCCCACTGTCCCCACACCACTGTCCCCACCACCACCGTCCCCACCACTGTCCCACTGTCCCCACTGTTCCCACCATTGTCCCCGCTGTCCCCACCAGTGCCCCCACCAGTGTCTCACTGTCCCCACTCTCCCCACCATTGTCCCACCACGGTCCCACTCTCCCCACTTTCCCCACGGTCCCCACCACTGTCCCGCTGTCCCCACTGTACCCACCACTGTCCCACTGTCCCCGCCGCTGTCCCACTGTGCTGTCCCACCGTCCCCACTGTCCCCATCACTGTCCCACTGTCCCCACTGTCCCCACCATTTCCCCACTGTACTACTGTCCCACCACTGTCCTCACCACCGCCTTCACCACTGTCCCCACCACTACCGTCCCCACCACTGTCCCACTGTCCCCACCACTGTCCCGCTGTCCCCTCACCACTGTCCCCACCACCACCGTCCCCACCACTGTCCGCACCACTGTCCCACTGTCCCCGCACCACTGTCCCCACCACCACCGGTCCCTCCACTGTCCCAGCATCCCCACCATTGTGGTGGTGGTGGAAAACAGGCCCATCTCACTAGGGTCAGGTGGGCGCAGGCGCTGGGCATCCCCGACGCGCGCGAGGGCGCGCCCGGCGCCCAAGGCCCGCCACCAGCGCTGCCCGCTGCGGGGTCGGCGGCGAGGCCCGCGCAGCACCGCACTGCGCCAGCAGTCGAGGATGTGCTGGCCCCTTGCGGTTTCGCCTCCGCCGAGGAGGCTCGAGTTCGTGGCCCCAGGGCCGTGGCCGAAAGAGCGGCGGGGGCCGCTCAGAGACGGGCGGCGGCCCCTGGCCCACGGGGCTGAGCTGGGGCCGAGGCTTCTGCTTTGGCCTCCTGCGGGAACCTCCTGGGCGCCGCGCGCGCGGCGCGGCGTCCTGCTGAATGTGCTGCAAGCCCCCCGGGATCCGAAGTGAGACAGAATACCCTCACCGTAGTGGTGCCCCGGAGGCGATGCCAACAGAGACGTCCGGCGCGGTTCTCGCCCCTTGTTCCCGCGCCCGCCGCTCCTCGGCACGCTCTCCTTCCGCCTAGTCGGGGGGCTCGACGCACCGATGACTCGGGGGCACCTTCTCGGGCTTCCAGGGGCCCGTCTCGTCGAGTAGGTGTTCGCCCCCCCCCACCACCCCACCCCTACCCCACCCCAGATTCAGACATCGGGCGCCTCGAAAAAATCGAGTCGCCTGGTTGGTCGCCATGGTTGGCCTCTGGAGGCTAGTTTCTGGCCTGGGGGCCGTCTTGAACGCCGCGAAGCCGAAACGATATCTTAAGTGTTTATGCTTATAAATATATATATATATATATATGGAAATATATCGGTATAAATATATATATATATATATATATATATATATATATGTGTATGCATGCATGCATATATGCATGCATGCACGCCCGCACGCACGCACGCACGCACGCACGCATGCATGCATACATACATACATACACACCTACACACAGACATACAAACATACATACATACATACATACATACGTACGTACGTACGTACGTACGTACATACATACATACATACATACATACTGACATACATGCATGCATGCATGCATACATACATACCTACATGTTTACATGCATACAAACAGACAAACAAACAAACAAACAAACAACACATATCTATATATCTATATATATACATGTATATATATATATATATATGTGGGCTCCGATAGGGAATTGGACGACGTTTGTCTCTGGGGGCCCTCTTAGGGAGGCCTCTTGACCCTGTCTTGTGGCGTCCTGGGTGCCGCTTCAGCCGTCTTCAGGCCATACTGGGCGTCTTGGACCGATCATTCGTCGATTCGGGACCCTCTTGGACCGTCTAGGGGGCCCCTTTGGGCGCTCTTGGCCTGTCACGGGGCCCTCTGGGGCCCAAAAAAGTCATGCCACAAGACTCGGCGCGCCCCAGAGGGCCCGCGGGAAGCCCTGGGAGATGTGGTACTTTGGGGTCTGGGCCCCTTTGAAGAGCCTTCAGGATTGAGGACCGAACGTTACGGGATTAGGCCAAGGACCTGAGGACATTCCATGTCGTGCTTCAGCGCACGGGCAGATTATGTTGTATGAAATCTTGACGTATGCTGTAACTGTTTTCCAGTCCCCTGGGGCCGTTTCCGGGCACCGGGGCCATCAAAAGAAAATCTCGGAAGGCACGCAGGCAGATGGTTGGCACGGTTTGCACCGGCACTGCCGCTTGTCGGGAGTTGCCAGAGTTGGCCCTGGCCCAAAGCGGCCCCAGCTACTGCAGAGACCAGATAGAACAGCCAAAAACACTCACACCTTGACGCCCCCAGCCAGCGGGTTGTGTGTGTGTGTGTGGGGGAGGGTCGCGGTTTTTGCGCCCACGATGGCTTTCCGCGCAGGGAGCGTGCGGTGCGTACGAGCATCGCGCAGAAGCCACAGGGTTGCCCTGCACGAGAAGCTTTCTTCAAGCAGATCAGCTGTCGGGGGGCGCACAGTAGGCTCACGTACCCAGGGTCGTCGATTCGGTACGCCTAAGCACTTCCCCGTTTCGTCGTTTGCGTCGGCCCCATGACCAGCCCGCAGCGAACTGTTGCACCACGCGCGGTGGGCAGAGAAGGCGCCGCTGCCAAAAGCGACGGCGTCATGAGCATCTCCGCGGGGAGCATCCCTTCCTCCGCAGCCAGTTTGGCCCAGCCCGTTCCGCATTGTTTTGCCTCCCTGGCGGTCGAGAAACTGGCCGTTAGGACCTGTCCGCGATGAGCAAGAGCGGAGTCGTCAAGTTTTTCAACGAGGAGAAGGGATACGGATTTCTCGTCCAGGATGACGGCATGCCAGACTTGTTCGCGCACCGCAACGATTGCGTTGGCAACATGTTGCAAGAGGGCGACAGGGTGACATATGACGAGGCTCAAAACGACCGCAACGGTAAACCTCAGGCCAAGAACGTGACGGGAGGCACTGGGGGGCCCAACATTGGTGGTGGCGGTGGTGGTGGCGGCAGGGGCAAGGGCGGCAAGGGCGGTAAGGGCGGCTTCGGCGGCGGCCCGGGGCCCATGATGGGCGGCGGAGGCTTCGGTGGATGCCCAGGCGGCGGCTTCGGTGGCGGGGTGAAGACTGGGATGGTGAAGCACTTCAACGACGAGAAGGGCTTCGGCTTCATCGTTCAGGACGACGGGTCGCCGGACATCTTCGCCCACAGGAACAACGTCAGCGGCAACGCCCTGCAGGAGGGCGACCGCGTGACCTACGAGGCGGGCGTGGACGACCGCAACGGCAAGCCCTGCGCGGTAAATATCTCTGGAGGCACTGGCAGCGGCGGGGGCGGCGGCAAGGGCGGCGGCAAGGGTGGCAGAGGCAAGGGCGGCGGCAAGGGCGGCGGCGGCAGGGGCGGCGGCGGAGGCGACTTCGGCAACCCGGGGGGCGACTACGGCTGCGGCGGCGGGGGCGGCTTCGGCGGCGGGGGCATGGGCATGGGCGGGCGCGGTGGCGACCTCGGTGGCATGCCCGATCCCTACGGCGGTGGCATGATGGGGCGCATGGGCGGCGGGATGCCCGATCCCTACGGGGCGCCGCGGGACCCCTACGCCGGCGGCGGCCCCGGCGGCTTCGGCGCCCCCCCGCAGCGCGGCTTCGGCGGCTGCCCGGGCGGGGCGCCGCCCCCCTACGGAGACGCGCCGTACGGGGCCCCCGGCCCGATGGGCGGCATGCCGTTCCCGCCCTATGGTGCCAGCATGCCCTACGGCGGCGGTGGCAAGGGTTAAGTCGGGCCTGTCCCTCTACAGGAGGAATATTCAAAAAGAGCAAAAAAATAGTCTGGGGACTATTGTTTGTATTTGTGCTCATTTTCAGCATGTTCTACTTATTTTTCAATCTTCGACCAAAATTCGCTTGTAGGAGGACATGTCCGACCGAAGGCCAGAGGATGGAGACCGAAGAAGAAAAGACTGCACAAGCAGAAACTTTTGGAGCTCCGCGCGGAGTTCTTGGATCGGCGTTGGGGGCCCCCTGGCAGCGCCTCCAGCGCCGCCCTTGGCGAGCTCCTCCGCGCGCCAGGGAGGGGGGTCCAGCCCGCGCCGAGAAATCCGCGCGGACCTCTGAAAGATGATGTTCACACAGCTTGGGGCTCCTCTAGCAGACCCTGAGATCCTGACGTTTCATTTTTTCGAGCGCGGCGGTTTAGCCTGGTTTCGGGCCCCGGGACCCTCGTAGATCGATCGGGCTCGAAAAATGGGACAGAAAGGCAGGGCCCAGAGTTCCAGACGTAAGTGTTGCATTCGTTTGCGACTTCGGATCTTAGCGAAGGCGCCGATGCCGCTACTAGTCCTGGAGATCCCTCACTGCCACGGCTGGATTCTCTCCTCGAAGCTCTGGTCGAAACGCACCTCGGGTGAGCTCTGGGGAGTAGCAGTATCGGTACCGTTTTGTTCCCCCAGGTGGCGGCTACAAGGGTGGTTTCTGAGAGCCACCGTGGCGGCCACCGGAAGGAGCGCCGCCACCGCACCTGTCCGCTGGAGCTCCTCCCAGGCCGAGGGAATCGGTGCGGGCTGGCAAATAATCTAAAGGAGCCTGACCACTAGCATCGCTCCCACAGAGGCTGTCTCGAAGCACCATGCGCAGTGGTTTAGGGGAGTCGCTTTCAATTGATATCGGAGACACTGCACATCGCTGGCTACAGGTACATTCAACCCTCGCTGATGCGGCGCTGCTGAGCTGCATTCCAGTCGCCACCTCGTTTGGTTGCGTGCCAGCGGGTCGTAAAGGCCACAAGAAGTTCACGTCTCACTTACAGGGACAACTATACAGTACTGCGCATCCTGCATGCCACGTCGGCATAGACCTGCGGCACGTCCATACTGATTGGGGCCGCGTTTGCTCTGGGCTCCGGGGAGGGAGGACGCTGCAATGTTGCTATTTACGTACGTTGTTTTGCTACCTTGCGCGTGTGAGCCAATCATTGATTCTTGCGAGAACGACACCACTCGACCGTTGAATACACTCCCCTCTGCCTCTCATCCTCATGCCCATCATCCCCACCAAGTATTTTCGACGCTGTTGCTCCTCCACCTCCTGCTCATCCCCCTTACTCAAGGGGCTTATACCTTTCCACTGCCCCCACAGAGGAGGCGATGTTCGGCTTCCGATGTCGTATAGCTTTAAGTAAGGCCTGTCACTCCACAGGAGGAATGTTCAAAATAGTAAAGAAATAGTCTGGGGACGATGTGTTTAGTATGTTTGGGCATTCTTGAGCATTGTTTGACTATTCTTACTGTTCGTTCAAAATCCTCCTGTAGGGGGACACGCCCGACTTCAGTATAGCTGTTTGCCTCTTCTCGCCGTGTTGTTTGCATGGAATGTTACTGCTGATTTCTGCTCCTCTTCCTCCGCGTCTGCTGCGGGGCTTAGGGGTGGACCTCGGGTACGGCCTCGTGGGAGCCTTTGCAATGCTCCTGGGGGCCTTGGGGGAGCCCTCTGAGGGCTTTTGGCCCTGGCGAGTTCCACCTAGTGATAAGTCGGGCGTGTCCCTCTACAGGAGGAGCGTTCAAAAATAGTCAAAAAATATTCTGGGGACGATGTTTTGAGTAGTTTTTGACTATTTTCATATATTTGTTGACTGTTTTTATTTTTCGTCCAAAATCCGCCTGTAGGGGACATGTCCGACCTAAACCTAGTGGGCCCGTCTTGGGCCCTCTTGACGGCCTTCTGGCCGTCTTGGAGGCCCCGTGGGCCATCTTGGGGGGCTTCTTGGGCTGTCATGGGCTGGTCCGGGGGGTCCTCGCGGGACGCCTAAGTCAGGAGGGGGGAAAAAACACAGACACAATTAATCGTCGGCTCCCAGAAAATATGGGAAAACATGGGAAGTGGGGGGGAAGACAAAAACCCAGAAATTAAAAATATTGGGAATCCTGATATTTATGTCTACTTATTTGTGTGTCCCAGGGCCCCTTCACTAGGGCTCGCAGAAGCTGGAAAAGGCGGGAACGCTCACATGCACAAACCCAATCGGAACAGATCCATGATTGGCGACTTCTGACGCCTCTGCTGATCGTGGGGCCCTCTGGGGCGTCTTGGCTGCGTCTCGGGCCGTCTCGGGGCCGTCCTGGGTGCTCTTGCGGCCTCTCCGGCGCGTTGGTGCTCTTCTTGGGCAATCTCACGAGGAATCTTGAGCATTCCGCCCGCCACGGGTGGCGGATCGGGAGGCTCCGAGAGCCTCAGACGTGCCGTGGTGAGCTCGTCCACCATGCCCCCCCGGGAGGACGGTCAACCGTCTCACGCGTCTTCGCACCCCCGGGCAGGCGGGGCTCTCCGGATGACGTGTCCATCGTTCCTGCCTCCATGTCTCCATCATGTATCATTCCGTTGTCCTCCTGCCTCCCTCCTCCTTCTGCCGTCCTCTCCCTCTCTTTCCTCCTCAGCTTCCGCCCCTTTCATAACCCTCAGTAGTTCATCCTGCATTGTCCTCCGCATTATCCTCCTTACTTCTGCACCCTCCTGAACCATCGCCCATCAAATTCCACCCTCTTCCATGATCTACCTCCTCCCCCTCACCATTAACATCGTCATCGCCAGCATCAGCAGCGCACATACACTCAACCTGTGCTTTCGCACACCGAAGCAAATCATGATCGTGATGTTTCACATTACCCGTTGCGGAGTATGCGGCAGGACCCAGACGCAGCTCACATCACACGCGAGAAATCAGGATGGCACTCGAACGCTCCTTTTGCATGGCAGATCACATCGAAAGCCGACGTCGCGGCAACCGATCCTGGGAGATCTACTATCCGTATGGCTATGCAGGGCTCGCACGAACACTCCAGCAGGCAAAACAGACACGCGTGGCGCACCCCACAGAGCTCACACTGCGTGCGAGCTCGCGCTCCGAGGAGGCAGCTGTCTGAGCGCACGGGCACCTCGAGTTCCACAACCGCGTATGCGATGAGCCCACGCTCCCTTCGCAAATAAATACATACACCCAAGACAAAAAGTTTTGTCCACGCCCTTGCGATACAGTGCAAGCCCCCCATGCGCGGCGAGCGCCACGTTCACAGACATTCGGCGCTTCGATGTGATTGATGCTTAGTCTCAGAACCTTTCGACTCGGTACGGTCAAAATGGATACGGAACGGTTTTCCACGAAGACAGATAACAGTTGCCTTGAGCTCATGGCCCAAGACGGACCAGGATCAGGGCCGCGGTATCGGAAAGCACAGGCCAGGATGGAGTAGGGTTAATATCACATCGGGGATCACATATCAAGATTATTTGGGAGAGAGAAACAATGAACCCAGCGCGACCCCTCATTGGGGGACGCTTCCTAAGCGACAGTCTCTTGCATTGGTTCGCATGTCATTGCTTTGCGCTGCGCTTCAATCGCCTGTATTGCTTGGCATTGCTTGGCACTCCTTGGCGTTGCTTTTCGTTGCTCAGCGTTGCTTGGTATTGCTTGGCAATACTTGGCGTTGCTAGGCGTTGCTCGGCATCGCTTGGCATTGCTTGGCATTGCCGAGCAGTGACTGGCATTGTGGTGTTCTCGTCGTGGCGTTGCTTGGCATTGCTTGGCATTACCTCACATTGCTTGACATCGCTTGGCATTGCTCGGCATTGCTTTGCAATACCTGGCATCGCTTGGCGTTGTGTGGCATGTATGTGTATTGCTTGGCGTCACTTGGCATATATGTACATTGCTTGGCGTTGCTTGGTACTAGCTGGCATTGGTTAGCACTGCTTAACAATGCTTGGCGTTGCGTGGCAGTGCTTGGCAGTGCTTGATGAGCTTGGCATTGGTTAGCATTGCTCGACACTGTATGGCGTTGCTTGGTATTGGTTGGCCGAGGAACGCTACTGCAAAGAAACAATACCAAGCAACCCCGACGAACGCCACTGCATAGAAACAAGAAGGGAGCCCTGGGGAACGCTGGTTGGTGAGGCGTCGCGCCCGCCAGCTGTTCAAAAATAATAGTTCGAGTCAGCAACAAAATTACCCGAGGCGTACCCAACCCCTTCTTCACGCGAGGCGATGTATTTCTTCTTGCGTTGCCCTGCACTCCGCTGTGCTTCCCATGAGCCCACGAAAGTGGCGACAGTTGCGCAGTTCGCAGCCCCCGAGGGAGCCGCGAGGTCCCCAATGATCTGAGGTACCCTCACCTCCGCCGTGCCTCCCAGGCTCCCGAGTGCGCATTAATGGAGCCGCGAGGTCTCAAACGATCTGCGGTGCCCTCATCTCCGCCGTGCCTCCCAGGAGCCAACGAAAATGGCGACAGATGCGCAGTCCACGGCCCCCGAGGGAGCCGCCAGGTCCCAAATGATCTGCGCTTTCCTCACCTTCGCCGTGCCTTCTAGGAACCCGCGGAAGTGGCGGCAGGTGCGCAGTTCGCAGCCCCCGAGGGAGGCGCGAGGTCCCCAATGATCTGCGCTGTCCTCACCTCCGCCGTGTCTTCCAAGAGCCCACGGAAGTGGCGACAGGTGCGCAGTTCGCAGCCCCCGAGGGAGCCGCGAGGTCCCAAATGATCTGCGTTGCCCTCACCTCCGCCGTGCCTCCCAGGAGCCCACGAAAGTGGCGACAGGTGCGCAGTTCGCAGCCCCCCCGTGGGAAGAACAATGGAGGCCAGGAGG